CGACATTTTACTATAATACTCGAATCAACAACTACTGATTCACTTTATATATTAGATGGGGAGGCTGAATCACGCTCTGCGTGTTCATTTGACTCTGTGATACATACATTTTGATTTGAAATTCCATGTGTTCCACGTTTCTGGATTCCTTCACCCAGAATTTCTTTACATTAATCTCAACTTAACTCCTTACATGGATTTAAAATGGTCAAAAAAACACTTGGGTCAAATTTTTCTTTAGAATTAAAAATAAAGATCCTAATTTTATTTAACATTTTCATATATGCAACTAGTTTTCATAACCACCATAATAGTTCATGTCAATAAATTTAATATGTATAAGGAATTTTAAATACACTTTCCATTACTTTATTCAAAACTATCTCTTTTCGTATATTTATAATATTCAATATTATCATGTAAATTTTTCTGTTCTTTCCATTTGCTTAGACGTTTCTGACACATAATATCAACACATTCCTATGTTAGAACAATTTTCAGATAATAGTGATATTCGTTCAACCAGGTTATATCTAGAATATTTGTTTTTTATTTTTTTCCTTTTATACTTCTTTATCCCTATTTGGTCTTGTGACTTGTTGGTAAAATTTAACAACCATTTGTTTGGTTAATTTCTATGTTTGTTTGACACGTCTATATGATTTACAATCTTTTTTGCAAAGTCTCTTATTCTCTTCAATAATGTGTTCTAAATTATAGTACCAATCAAAATTATAATTTATGACTTTAAATTTACCAAATACTTCATATTTTTTATGAGTTAAAATATATGAAAAATATTCAATCTATTAATTGGTTAGAAAATATAAATTGCGTTAAATAAATTTATTATCCCTGAAAATATAAAGTTTTCACTGTTTTAAAAATTACAGAAAATATCGATATACCTGTCTATCTATATATTAAAATGACGAACATATCAAATTTATATTATTTATTAAAATTTACCAACTTATTTTTATATATGCTAACTACATGAAATAATGATTTTCGTGTATTGCTGCCTATATGTTAATGCTAGTAACAATATATAATATACTGATATGATATTCATCACTTTAAATTTTTTATAAGAAGAAAGATAAAAATTATAAGGAAAAATATTACTTAACTAAAACCAAACTATTCTATTGTTTTATTACTCCATATAAAATGAAAATTTTTAATTATTCAGAAAATACTGGGAAAATTGTTCTTCTACAAAATATAAATACAACAAAGTATCACATAAGGCTATCCATAATATACAATAAATCAAACCATCGTTATTTTCTCTCTGTATAATATGTATCTTATACATGTCCTTATTGCGTATTTCTATCTTTTTTAAATATTTCAATTAAAAATTCTTCTCATAATAATAAGTATACTTTCAGTAGATAAATTATATCTTCATTTTTCCTATAAAAAAGAGTAGCTCCTTTTTATTATTCTATTATCCTTTTTGAAGCGTTATTAATGTCAATTATTTAATTATACATTCTTCAAAACAGACGCGTTAAAATTTTAATGTCATTAGGACATGCAAATGCGACAAAAAATAATAAAATTAATATAAGTTATTTTATTTTCGTTACCTCTCTAAATGGCAAAATTTTGTCACAAAACGTTATAAATTCTATTGATATATTATTCAATATTGTGAATCTTATAGTAAATAGTAAAGCCTCGTTGCCTATATAATTTGTGTACTAGAAATTTTTTTTTTGTTCCATTGCCCATTCTTTGACATCTGATAAATAAGCGATTAAATATTAGTATTTTTCTATATACATATAAAATAAATTTTTTTCGATAAATGAATGAAAAAAGATGATATTTTATTTAATTAATAATTACAAAAAAATTAAAAAGCAGTTTTACACTTAAAAGAATTTTGTTTTGAAGATCACTATGATATAAAGTCTTTTATATTTTCCCTTAAAAGGAACTTAATTTTATTGATCAATAAAACACATCTTCCATTTTGTTTTTCTGTGTGTTTCATTTATTCCTTTTTCAAATAAGCATAAAAGGTCTAAATATGTTTTATTAAAATAAATAATAAACATTGTATTTATTACATTTCTTTTATTAAACTGTGAATGTAATTAAGCATGCGCATTTTTATTGTTTTAATAAAAAACAATATAAAATAATTTTGTTTGATAATTTTAAAAACATTTAGCATTATGTATATATAAATTGGGCATACAATTGCTCTTTTTAAAAAATAATTACTGTAATTATTATTACATAAATGAAATTGTTTCCGCTTTTTTTGACTTTGCGAAAGTGAACAAAAATAAAATTTTTAAGTGATATTTTATTCTATTGTTCTATATTATATTTATAGTGTAAGTCACATTTATCTTTATATTTAAAGGATAAAAATGTTTTTGCACTTATTTCCACATTATTTTATTCAAATATCCCTTAACATATGGATACTTTTGCATTCATGTTTTTTCATATTAATATTACTGAGGTTTTGTTTGGTGATTTTTTTTCATTCGACATTAATGGGCCTATGGTGCAAATAATAAAAATAATAATGAAAAAAAATTAATGAAATCATTATAATTAATCTGAAGTACTTAAATCAACATTTTACAAAATAATGACATTCCTTCAAATTAATGTACACATAACAGATTAAAATGATTTCAAACAATCCAATTTTATATAAAAAAGAATGTTTTTCTCAAAAGTATCCCGAAAAATAAATAATAACTGTTAATTTTTTTGGAAAAAAGCAAGACGATTAATAAAATTATTTTTTGTATTGTAAATTACAAGGCATTTTCTTTAATGCGCAATAAACCATTAATTACATGAGGCAGAGTATGAAAAAAAATTGTACTTAACATATAAGGCAATAAATGAACTTGCTTATAATTAAAATTCCTTATTTGAAATACTTATAAACGATATTAAAAGTGATCAATTTATCATAAATTAAAACTATTTTAGAAGTAAGTCTAATATCTAAAAGAACCATAAAACTTTAAAATTAATAGGAGCACGTGTAATACACTCAAAACATAGAACAAATCTATGAAGGTACCTAAAAAATTGAAGTATTTGTTTGTGTCTTACGGAAAGAAAAACATTCAGTTAAATATAATTAATACTAGTGATGAATATCAAAGGAATATATTCACATCGCTAAATATATGATGAATATATATGAAAATCTAAAATAGTGAATTATTAATAATATACTGTAATATATTTAATGGAAACTATCACTAAATAATGATGTTATTATTATTCCTCTACACAGTTAACACATGAA